TTGGGAAAACCAAAGGAGCAGCGCCAGGAGGGAGATGAGGGTCTCCTCCAGGAGCTCCCCCGGGTCGGGGGACATCGCTGACAGTGTCACCCGGGACAGGGGACAGCGCTGACAGTGTCACCCGGGACAGGGGACATCCTGACAGTGTCACCCGGGACAGGGGACAGCACTGACAGTGTCACCCGGGTCAGGGGAGACATCGCTGACAGTGTCACCCGGGACAGGGGACAGCACTGACAGTGTCACCCGGGACAGGGGACATCGCTGACAGTGTCACCCGGGTCAGGGGACATCGCTGACAGTGTCACCCGGGACAGGGGAAAGCACTGACAGTGTCACCCGGGCCAGGGGACAGCCCGGACAGTGTCACCCGGGACAGGGGAAAGCACTGACAGTGTCACCCGGGACAGGGGACAGCACTGACAGTGTCACCCGGGACAGGGGAGACATCGCTGACAGTGTCACCCGGGACAGGGGACAGCACTGACAGTGTCACCCGGGACAGGGGACAGCACTGACAGTGTCACCCGGGTCAGGGGAGACATCGCTGACAGTGTCACCCGGGCCAGGGTGTGAGAAAAATTTCCCCTTGAATTTTCGAAAGGCGGCAAAACCTCAGGAAACGCAAAGGAAGGATTTATTCAGCGCGCCGGGTCCGGTCTCACACCGAGATCTTCGGGGAGAAAAGACCCTTTGGGTTTAATTTTTATAGTTTTACAAAATCCCACCCTTTTTCAGAGAAGCTTTAATATATTCATTTTTACCTAAAAAGGTTTCTTTTCTCTGAAAAGGGGCTTTCCCTTTATCCCGATCGGCTGCAAAGTTGTCAAAAATGGTGGATCTTCCCTTGTTCTTAAACCCAAAGAGAGAAGGAACCTCGGGCACCACGCGGTCCCAAAACATTTTAATTTTTAAGAACTTTTGCATTTCCCTTAATACGGCCCAAAAGGACCCTGACAGCCAAGTTGTCTGTGGAACTTGGGTATTTTACAACTTCATAATACACCTATATATATATATATTTATATGTTTATATTTATATATTTTATATATATAAAATTTATAAAATTTATAAAAAATATATATTTATATATGTGTATATTATATTTACTATTATATATATTTATATATAACTATATATTTATATATTCGTAAATGTATAAATATATAAAATATATAAATATTTATATATTATATATTTATTATAAATTTCTATATAAATATATATTTATAAATGAGTAAATATGTAAGAATATATAAATATATTAAATATATACATTTCTATGTAAATATATATTTTATATATTTTTATAAATATATTTTTATATTTTTTTAATATATAAAACACACACACACACATATATATATAAACCATATTTTTATTTCTCCTAAGAGGATATCGCTGACAGCGTCCCCGGGCCAAGGGACATCGCTGGCGGCGTCACCCGGCGCTGCTTTGGGGGCGTTAATTATAAATAATAATAATAAATAATCAGAAATATCCCCCGGAAGGCCCGGGGGGTCCGACCTCTGCCGGCAGGTCCAGCTAATTAACGCCCTCTGCTGTCGGTGTCGGCACTAATTAACGGCTCGTCAGGCCGCGCGCTGACAGGGGCACTAATTAGAGAAGCCCCGCGGGGGAGAGACGGTGATAATTGCGCGGAAGGTCCTGGAAGGGGAGTGAGGGAATGAGGGAATCGGCTCTGCCGGGGCGGGAGGGGAGAGAGACCGGCCCGATATAAAACAGGAAATAAAGAAATACGATATAAAATTATACTGAACTGCCGATATAAAATAAAGAAATAAAAATACGGGTTTTTTTAATTCCAAAACAAAATTATACATCGTGAAGTTGGAAGGTGTCCATTTCCAAATTGGAGAGGGGAACAGGGAAATATATGTTCGTAAATGGAATATAATGTAATATAATATAATACAATACAATACAATACAATATAATATAATATAATATAATATAATACCCCTCTAATTATTCCTAATATTATATATTATATATTTATTCCTAATATTATATTCCTAAGGCTGCTCCCATGGGATGGTGGGCCCAGGCTCAGGTTTGTTTTCAAGGCCTGGCTTGGCTCAGTCTGGGCTCCCAGTGGCTCCCAGGCCTGGCCCAGGCTCAGTCTGGGCTCACCATGGTCTCTGTCCGGCCAAGCAGCTCCAACCCAAATCCTGCCCCTCAGGAAGCAGCAGGAAGTGTCTGAACACCAAAATTCTTCCTTTTCCCTCCTTTTCCTCCTTTTCCCTCCTTTTCCCTCCTTTTCCCTCCTTTTTCCCTCCTTTGCCCTCCTTTTTCCTGCTGTTTTGAACTCCAGCAGAGCAAGAAAACCCCCGGGTCACCCCCCGGGCTCCAAAATCCGAGGGCAAAAAGGGCAAAAACGAGCAAAACAACGACAACAATTAAAAAAACCACCTTTTTTTTCTCCGTGGTGAAGAAATAAGTGGAAAAAAGGAGCAAAAAGGGCATTTTTGGCAGCCAGCAAATGATTCATAACGACCCCTCCGACCCCAAGAAGGTTCCACGACCTCCCTGGCGGATCCCGAGGAGCTTAAAAAGGCCGGGAAGGAGCCGGAATTCAGGGAGAAGGAGCTGGGAAAGGAGGAAAAGCAGGAGGGGAAGGAAAGGAGGTGAGTTGGGATTTTCCTCCTTTCCTTTATTCCCAGGCTGGGAAGGGATGAAAGCAGGGAAGAAAAGGGGTTAGGATTGGATCCAAGCTCCGAGAAAAGGGACTTGGGCACAAGGGGATAAAAGTCTGAGTTTTGGGAAATAATGGGGGGGGGGGGTTATTGCCCTGGAATTCCTAAGGAATCCATAAAAAATAAGGGATGGAAAATTTTAATGGAGCGACTCTTCCGGAAGGGGCTTTTCAAGGAAGTTCTCTCTGGCACAGGGACAAAAGTCTCATTTTTGGAAAAAAAAGGGATAAAGAGAGGTGGAATTTTTAGGGAATCCAGTAAAAATAAAGGATGGAAAATTTTAATGGAGCAACTTTTCTGAAAGGGGCTTCTCAGGGAACTTCTCTCTGGCACAGGGACAAAAGTCTCATTTTTGGGAAATAAAGGGATAAAGGGGGGTGGGGTTTTATTCCCCTTGGAATTCCTAAGGAATCCATCAAAAAACAAGGGCTGGGAAAATTTTAATGAGTTTTAATGAGTTTAATTTTTTAAATTTAACCTCTTCTGGAAGGAGCTTTTCAGGGAAGTTCTCTCCAGCACGGTGGAGAGATTCCAAGGTAGGAATGGATGGGAAAAGGGGAGATTTGGGATAATATTTGTGGCAATTAATTATATCTTTGGATTATTCTCCAAAGATTTATTTTTATACCCAAAGATATATCGTATATAAAATTAGTATATATATTATATATATCTTCTCTATATCTTTTATATATAGCTTCTGTATATCTTTGGATATTCTATATATCCAAAGACATATTATATATATATCTTTTATATACAACTTTTATATATACCTTTTATGTATAACTTTTCTATATATCTTTTCTATATATCTTTTCTATATCTTTGATATCTCATTGGATATTCTATACACCCAAAGATATATTATCTATATATCCCAAGATGTATTATCCAAAGGTATTGTCCACAGATGGACTTGGGCACAGGGATAAAAGTCTGATTTTTGGGAAATAAAGGGGGGAGGGTGGAGTTTTGTTGCCCTGGAATTTTTAGGGAATCCAGCAAAAACAAGGGATGGAAAACCCTAATGAGTCAATTCTTCTGGAAGGGGCTTTTCAGGGAAGTTCCCTCTGGCATCGTGGGGAGGATTCCGAGGTGGGAATGGATGGGAAGGGAGGTTTGGGATGATGTTGATTATTAGCTTTGGATAATATTTAATTATGTAATAAAATTATATATTATAGTTATATAATATATAATATATAATATTATAATATATAAATATAATAGATAATAGCAATATATTATATATCATATGTTATATTAATTAATTTATTATAATAAAATATATTATTTTAAATTATTTAAATTATATTATTTAAATTATAATATTATATTAATTATTCATTACATTAATTATTATATTATTATTTATATTATTAGAAATTTATAATGCAAATATTTATTTATAAATACTCTCTTTACTCAACACATACTTTCTTGTTGTCTTTGATTAATTTCTTCTACTGATATACCTATTAAATCTCCGCGCCCTAATCTTGATGTGTATATTACAACACACCCACCAAAATGGTGTTTTAATCTTCCTCTACTTCAGCTTCTCCTATTCCGGCTCTCTTCCTCTCCCTCTTCTCTCTCGTATATCGTCGATCCTACGTCCCCTCTTTATCTCTGTCGTCTCTATTACTTATCTGCATCTCATGAGTTCCTTTATCGCTGCTGGCTCCTTCTTTTCTTCCGTCTCTCCCCTCTCACCTCTATATCCCCCCTCTCTACTATTCTCTGACTGGCAATCTCCTCGGTTCTAAATTCTAGCTCGATCCCGATCGACCATTCCCTTATCTCATCTCCCATCCCCACTCCCCGTTCATGATTATTTTTGGATTGTTATATCTTTGGATGTCATTCCATGGGCCAAGGCACATCCCTGCGGGAATTGCGCCGGGATTCCCCCAGTCCTGGGAAGGGCACAGGTTGTGTCCCGTGGATCCGTCCCATCCCAAAACTTCCCGCAGGGATCGGGAGGTGGGCGGGAATCCCATCCTGGGGCATTCCCGGTGGGATTTGGGGGCATTCCTGGCGGGATTGGGAGCATTCCCGGCAGGATTTGAGGCATTCCCAGTGGGATTTGGGGCATTCCCGGTGGGATTTGGGGCATTCCCAGTGGGATTTGGGACATTCCCGGCAGGATTTGGGGCATTCCCAGTGGGATTTGGGGCATTCCCGGTGGGATTTGGGGCATTCCCGGTGGGATTTGGGGCATTCCCGGCAGGATTTGGGGCATTCCCGGTGGGATCTGTGCCTCCCGCAGGCCGATCCGATGGTGCGGTGGCTGTTCCTGGCCGGGCTGGTGCTCGCCCTGCTCTTCCCGCCGGGAATCCAGGCAGCTCCCGAGGGCTTGGATGGCCCGTCCAGGTATGGAATGTGGGATCAGGGAGTGGCTCCGCCCTTCCCAGTTCCTGATTCCCAGTGTCCCTCCAGGGACATTCCCCTGTCCCCCCAGGATTCCTGGGCTTTCCCAGACCAGGGACATTCCCGTTTTCCCGCTGGGACATTCCCATGTCCCCCCAGGATATCTGGGCTGTCCCAGACCAGGGACGTTCCCATTGTCCCTCCAGGAACATTCCCACGTCCCCCTAGGATTCCTGGGCTGTCCCAGACCAGGAACATTCCCAGTGTCCCTCCAGGGACATTCCCATTGTCCCCCCTCCCTTCAGACATTATGGATTTATTTCCATTTCCATTTCCGGGATGATCCTGCCAGGATGGACGTGAAATCCTGGTGGTTTTTTTTTCCCTCTTCCTCCTCTTCCAGCCGGAATTCCGAGGGATCCCAGAGCTCCCAAAGCTTCCCATCCGACGCCAAGAGACACTCGGAGGGGACCTTCAGCAGCGACTTCACGCGGTTCCTGGACAGGATGAAGGCCAAGGAATTCGTCCACTGGCTCATCCAGGGCAGGAGGTGCCGGGAAAAGGGAGAGGGGAGGGAAATAAACCTGGAAAACCACCTGGAAACGACCCGGGAAACGACCTGGGAAACAACTTCCCACTACGGAAACACTGATCTGGGCAGGAGAGCGGGAGAAGGGAAGGATCCAGGGAGAGCTTGGAGCCACTTCCAGGGCTCCAGGAGAGCTGGAGAGGGATTTGGGATGAGGGCTGGAGGGACAGACACAGGGAATGGCTTCCCACTGGGAAAGGGGGATTTAGGGAAGGAATCCTTGACTGCAAGGGCAGTGAGGGCTGGGATGGAATTCCCAGAGAAGCTGTGGCTGCCCCTGGATCCCTGGGAGTGTCCAAGGCCAGGTTGGATCCCCCTGGGATGGTGGGAGGTGTCCCTGCCCATGGAAAGGTGGGATGGGATTTAAGGTCTCTCCCAACCCAAATCATTCCAGCATTCCTTGATTCTGGAGCCAGGCTGGGAGAGCTGGGAATGTTCCCCTGGAGAAGGGAAGGATCCAGGGAGAGCTTGGAGCCCCTTCCAGGGCCTGAGTGGGCTCCAGGAGAGCTGGAGCAGGATTTGGGACAAGGGATGGAGGGACAGACACAGGGAATGGCTTCCCACTGGGAAAGGGGAGATTTAGGTGGGATTTTGGGAAGGAATTCCTGGCTGGGAGGGTGGGGAGGCCCTGGGATGGATTTCCCAGAGGATGCCCCTGGATCCCTGGGAGTGTCCAAGGCCGGGTTGGATCCCCTGGGATGGTGGGAGGTGTCCCTGCCTGTGGCAGGGCTGGGCTTTCAGGTCCCTCCATCCCAGCCCATCCCAAGGCTCCGGGGTGTCCCAGGGTCAGGAATTTCCATCCGGATCCCGCCCGGATCCCCAGCCCAGCCCCGCCCATCCCTCCCCCAAGCCCTGGGCAAACAGTCAGGACTCAACTTGCAAGTCCTCGAAAGGGGATTAAAAAATAAAGCTGAGCCTTGGCCTAGGCCGGGCCCAACCCTGGGCTGGGCTCAGGAGGAAGTCGGGGCTGCAATCATCCAAAAATCCAGTGATCCATGAAATCCAATCATCCAAAAATCCAGTGTCCATAAAATCCAATCATCCAAAAATCCAGTGATCCATAAAATCCAACAATCCATAAAATCCAAAACTCCAATCATCCAAAAATCCAGTGATCCATAAAATCCAACCATCCAATCATCCAAAAATCCAGTGATCCATAAAATCCAACAATCCATAAAATCCAAAAATCCAATCATCCAAAAATCCAATGATCCATAAAATCCAACCATCCAAAAATCCAATGATCCATAAAATCCAATCATACAAAAATCCAATGATCCATAAAATCTCTGCCTCGGCTGCCCCAGAACAACAGACACGGGCAGAGCCATGGGAAGGGGCGTGTCGGGAGGGATTTGGGATTTGCCCCCAGAGGCCGGGAAAGGAGGGATTTTGTTCCCGGTTTGCTCCTCTGGTGAAGGTTCTTTGGAGAGAACGGGACAGAGGGAGAACGTCCCTGTCCTGGGGGAAAAAAGGGATCTGAGTCCACTGCTCAGCAGTTCCTGCATGGAGAGGGAGCTGGGATGGGGGACGGAGGGACGGACACAGGGAATGGCTTCCCACTGGGAAAGGGGGATTTAGGGGGGATTTGGGGAAGGAATTCCTGGCTGGGAGAGTGGGGAGGCCCTGGGATGGATTTCCCAGAGGATGCCCCTGGATCCCTGGGAGTGTCCAAGGCTGGGCTGGATCCCCTGGGAATGTGGGAGGTGTCCCTGCCCGTGGAAAGGTGGGATGGGATGGGATTTGGAGTGGGCATTGGAACTTTGGGGTGGGCATTGGAACTTTGGGGTGGGAATTGGAATTTTTTGGGATGGGAATTGGAACTTTGGGGTGGGAATTGGAACTTTGGGGTGGGAATTGGAACTTTAGGATGGGAATTAGAGCTTTGGGATGAAAATTGGAATTTTTTTGGGATGGGAAAACCTGGAAAACTCTTTGGGGTTCCTTTTCCAGGTACAATTAAAGGGCAAATCCCGGTTTTCCAGCCCCATCCTGAGGGGAATCTCCAGCTCCAGCCACCACCAGAGGCTCCACGGGAAGGATTTGTCCATCCCGGGACCATTCCATGATTCTCTGCTCCTGGAATCTGCTCCCATGGATCCCCCCTTCCCTCAAATCCGGCATTCCCAGCTTTTGCTTCCTCAGGAGCTTTTCCTAAATCCCAATAAAACCTTTGCTGGCTTTGCTGGGTCCTGAGAAAATGAATCCATAAATTTCATCCTTCCCCAAAAACTCTCCTGGGATAAAATGAATCCAAAAATTTGAATTTTTGGGAAAGGCTGAAATTTATGGATTCGTTTTATCCCAAATTTCAGCCTTTCCCAAAAACCCTCTTGGGATAAAATGAATCCAGAAATTTTTCGTGTTTCCCAAAAACTCTCTTGGGATAAAATGAATCCATAAATTTCAGCCTTTCCCAAAAAATTTACAGACCCCAAAACACCCCTTTAGGGACCCCAACACCCCGAAAAATCCAACGGGATTTTCCAAACATCCTCGATTCTTTATGGAAGGTTCTGGGATTTTGGGATGTCCTGGATGATCCCTGTGGGTCCAGAGTGGGATTTGGGATTCTGGGATGTCCTGGATGATCCCTGTGGGTCCAGAGTGGGATTTGGGATTCTGGGATGTCCTGGATGATCCCTGTAGGTCCAGAGTGGAATTTTGGGATGTTCTGGATGATCCCCGTGGGTCCAGAGTGGAATTTTGGGATGTTCTGGATGATCCCTGTGGATCCCAGAGTGGGATTTTGGGATTTTGGGATGTCCTGGATGGTCCCTGTTGGTCCAAGGCACGAATCCACTGATTTCCCACGGGAATTTTCCATGGATTCCCA